GGTAACTTTTTTTTTTTTTTTTTTTTTTGGGAAATTGACAGATCGCAAAACTGAAATTCTGGGCGTAACAGTACCCACAATGAACAGTATTTTTTTTTTTTTTAACCTAGGAAGGAAAATTGCTATCTTCCAACAAATCCTTTTCGTTTCTGCTGTTCAACAAGTTTTGGGAAAAGGGAAAGAAGAAAATTTTGAATTATAAGAGAAAAATACCCAAGATTTAGCTCTGATACCAAATTTGATGTAGGATGAATAAGAAAGAAAGAAGAAGGAACGGGGAGGAGAAACAGAGAGAAGGAAGAAGAGGAGAAGAAACCAGAGGAAGAGAGGGGAGGGAGAAAACGGCTGCAAGCCACCAAAAATATTTCAATTCTAATTCATCATCAACTGTCTCAAATGAGAAACAAAACAGAACTAAATAGCAAAACGCAAACCCTAAAGAGAAGGGCTTGGGCCAAACCCACTAAACAAGCCCAATAACGAAAATATAAACAATAGTCCAAATAAAATATAACTAATAATCCAAATAGAAAATAAATAATAAATGGATGTGCGCATCACATAGTAAATTTCTTTGCTTATGTTTTGACGATTCTTGCTTTTTATCCGGAGCATTTCACTGTACCATTCCATGTACATTTATTTGTTGCGGTTACCTGCCAAAGGTGATCTCTGAGGTTACAGTTCTCCTTGGTTGATGTACTTTGCTTGGTGAAAATCTTATGAATCATCATTTGTTATCTTGCATCAGGATCCTGCTTACTTTGTTCTTAAAGAGGATGCCTCCCCTTGCATTTTTGGCCCAATTGAAAAGCAGAGGTGGTCATACGCATGTGCAAAGCAGTTGATTGAAAGGTTGATCTATGGTGAGTGATGTAAAGTTATTGATCTTTATATCTCAGTAGTGAAACTTGCATTGAAAATTTCTCTTTTATCTTGTTCTACAGCTGAGGGTGCTGAGAATGGTCTTGAATTTACAATTGTGAGGCCCTTCAATTGGATTGGTCCCAGAATGGATTTCATACCTGGAATTGATGGTCCCAGTGAGGGCGTTCCAAGAGTTTTAGCATGCTTTAGCAATGTGAGATTATTATTCATATGCAGATCGAATACCATGTCGAATTAATTTGACTCCGTCTATTTTTTAATATTGTTTTCTTCTCTCTGTTCAGAATCTTCTAAGGCATGAACCACTAAAGCTCGTGGATGGTGGCAAATCACAAAGAACATTTGTTTATGTCAAGGATGCCATTGAAGCTGTTCTTTTGATGATTGTATGTTAATTTCATTCCCTATAATTCTGCTTGATGTTGAGCCATTGAGGTACTAGCTAAGTGGCGTGATTTTATACAGGAAAATCCAGCGAGGGCCAATGGTCACATATTCAACGTTGGCAACCCTAACAACGAAGTTACAGTCAAGCAGCTTGCTGAAATGATGACTCAGGTAATATGATTATGTAATTCTTTGAACTGTTACCATTCACATATTAATAAATTTCTCAACCTTTCTTTCTGGTTGTGTGCTCGCAGGTTTACTCAAAGGTTAGTGCAGAACCTCCACTAGATATACCTACCATTGATGTAAGCTCTGAAGAATTTTATGGTGAAGGATATGATGACAGTGACAAGAGAATTCCAGACATGACCATAATTAACAGACAACTTGGTAATAATCTGTTTAGTTGGAACACATTACTTGAGTTTTGGCTATATTTCTTACGGTAAGATTTAATTGTCTGGTTGTAGGATGGAATCCAAAGACATCACTTTGGGATCTGCTTGAATCCACTCTTACATACCAACACAGGACATATGCTGAAGCTGTCAAGAAGGCCATTTCAAAACCGGTTGCAAGTTAAGAGAAAAGTATAATATCTGGACTTCGTCCATGTTCATGCCTTCTCGGTTCTCTGAGAGTATCTCTTAGGATATCGATATGGTTTCATCTCATATACACACTATTCTTTCTTTCCAGCCACAACCCTACAGATCGCAATTACAGGTATCCTGTACGTCTAATACTGCGTTATATTTTGTTGTTAGTGCATTTATTTTTTACTTCACCTTCAAGTGAGCATGTTGTATTATTTATTATTTATTTCCGACAATATAGTTTGTTGTATTGCTTCAAGCTGCTTCTGGGATTTTTTTTTCTTTTACTTTATTTAAATGCTTATATTTTTACCATCTTATGTAAGATCGGATCGAAGTAAAGATTTATACTCTACTAGAATGACAAGTAGATCCAACAATAACTTAGAATGAATAAAATGAAACATCAGAGTTATCAATTTCGTTGAACCGTATTACGTATATTCTTTTACCTTATACAACTGTGTCATAGACAAATATTATTAGAAGAAACTTTGTTTCTTTCAAATCAAACAAGTTGAACATTGTGACCAAATGATGGCACATGTTTTTTGTCTTAAGATACACAATTAGCTATGTATTAGTATCTAATGAAGTACTTAGCGATAATCAATAAGCATTTTGTTACATTAATATTCTTTTCAGAATTTAAGGGCTCACACAAAAAATAATAATTGGTTTTATGAGTTGGCAAATAGAGCAAGAAATAAATTTTGACATCATATACGCATGCAAGTGGTTTGAAAAATGAAGAAATAGAGAGGAAAATTATACTTCATACCGCAGAGTTTGTTATCCTTTTTTATTATTATTATTTTTTTTTTTTATACGACGGGGGAATTTACAGTCGCTACCCTTCGGGTGCGTACTAAAGGGTAGCGGCTGCGGCCTGCGGGTTCCCCGTCATCCCCAAAAAAAAAAAAAAAGTTATCTTAATTGAAGCAAAAGTTGTTTTGCTTCCAACTTTTGCTAATTTTTTTCTTTTATTTCCCAATTTTGTGATTGTATTTTCATCCTCAACTTCTATTAATCAATATATCTTATTTTTACGACGAAGTAAAAGACTTGTTTGCTCCTCGAATTTTTGAATAAGTAAAATAAACAATAAATACAAAACTTCAACAAAATAATTTTTCCATACTAATTAGAAGATGTATTAATTAAAGAAAGTTAAAGATAAGAATGAGAACGAAAATAAAAAGTTGGAGATCTATATTGCAGTTAAATATATTTTACTTATACGATAAAATTAATTATGATATAACTAATTGTATCATCAATTGAATATACAACCTTATCAAGCGTACTAGGACCGTATCTGAAAATTCAATTTCGCTATAGTGACAGACTCAATGATAGATAGAGGGGACTTGTGTCAATACAGGATTATACGATTTGAAATAAATAAATAAATAAAATACAACACCAAATCTTGCCCTACCATTACACCCTGTCAACTCCCCCTATCATTTTCCAAGTTCAGATGCATTATTGCTAAAATTTTGTCATTGCAAACAGTTATCAAAATATTTAAATTTGATTATAGACTCGAACCTCTTTTGATGTCGTCATCTATCATTTTCACTTGGAAGACTAAGCTCCTGTTTGGCCTCCATTTTATAGAATTGAAAATAGGTGAAATAGTATTTTTTTGAAAAATGAGTGGTTAAAAAAGAATGAAAAATTTTTAATTTACGTGTAATATTATTTTATGCAAAATTGTGTGATTAAAAATAAGAGAGAAAAATATAATATAATGTAATAGAAATTAATGGGTCCAAACAGGGGCTAAAGATGTCTAAAGTGACTTTTCTTTAACAAGATTGATGGATTGAGACGACAGTAATCCGAAATTGTAGCCATTTATGATTTCAAAAGGCACAATTTCACTTTGTACCTAAACAAACAAATAAAGCACAAAACACGCTGCTTCGCTGCCTTTAATAGGCGCCCTCCTCGATTCGCACACCTGCTGTTCGACAAAAGCGAGACTGAACTGGAAACACAGTAAAATATTACAATTTACATAAATTGGCACCTGGGATCCGAATATCAGATAACTTCTCTCCTAATGATTAGTCATGTCCTCTTATCTCCATGTCCCCTCGGCCGGCCTATATTTCCTTCTCTCTGTTCAACCACCCCACACAGTTTGAAGACACGTATTCAAGTTTGATATTATAATCATTGAAATGGGTCAAACCCATAAAGAAAATGTTAAACACATATGACTTATGAGTGAAAAATCGAATCTTTGCACGAATTGCCGCCTTTATTTTTCAGTAAGAAACCGGGCACTTTAATACTTTATATTGTTATAATTTACAAGTATGGTGAACTACAAAAATATGTGAAGTGTAAGTAAAGTATGATCCATACTGTTGCTTTGTTGTTGGGCTTTTTTTATATACACGAAAAGCATAATGCGAGGTTGTAAAGATGGCGTCTTTATGGGTCATGATTGTTGTTTTTTCCTGTTACCAAAGGTTGACTCGGCAAACTCAGTTTTCTTTTTTGTTTTTAATTTTGTGGCAAACTGGGTATCTGTGGTTGATATGGTTGGTAGGCTTCCATTTAGAAGAAATTTATTTATTTACTTAAATAATAATTAATGATGTGATGAGCTGTGGGCATCATAATGACAGGGTTTCTGTAGTTTGTAATCAATTGAATTGAAGTGGGTAAAATTTTGGTTTCGAGGGAGAGAAAAAAAGAGAGGGAATTTATATTCAATTGTTGGCCATTTATTATAGAGAACCAGAACTCAATTGAATAGACTATTTGCTTTAAAAGAATCGGAGTGAATATTTTCCAGAAAGGAGGAGGCTACTGAGGTTTGAAAGGTCGGGCTCCGGATGGCCCCTGCAGCTAAAAGTACTGGATTTTATTGCGAAGGAAATGAATGGTATTCATCATCCCTTTCTTTCTGTCTTTCAAAACCCATTTTATATTTCTGAGAATTCTGTTTAATTCTTGATCATCCATGAAAGTCCTCGCTGACAGAGGGGAAGACAGAGATGTGCCGTTCTATTATGCTAAAAATTTGTGTTCTATTTTCCCAAGAATTTATACACTCACGTATTCAGTGTTGTTTTATGTAAAATTTTACATCTAATTACTCAGCTAAAGTTGCTAGAGCGAGGATAATTAATTTTATATTAACGCGTGTAGGAGTGATGTTATATTGTTCACTGCAATGGAGGGTAACGGTATTGGGGAGAGGGAAAGCAATCTTCACTGGAGAATAGAACTCAGTCTTTTTCCATTTCATATGTAACTTGACCAGGGTAATGCTCCCTTGGGACTTGAAGTCCGGTTTGGTTCATATTATAAATTAACTGAGATTGGACTGAAAAAATTGAGTGGGTTCGGGTGATTGTCTTTCACTGGAGATAATTTTTGGACTCCATCAATTTGATATTAGATGAGTACACAACCAAGCTTGTCCTTGATGAGAAGGGAAATATGAATTTATGGTATTTTTGGATTTTCTGAGGAGGGTATTTGAATAGAACAATGCTGGCTCCTGTACAGGCCACACACATTATAAGAGGGGGGGGGGGGGGGGGGATTTTGAGGGGGCCTGTACATTAGGCATTTTTCATTTGAATATGCCTCGAGATGATCTTATTGTTGAATGTTGTGCCAAAATGGCATGAAAGTTATTTTTTTCCTTTTAGGTTCTGCAACTCGAGTCTGCCGAGTGATATCATAGTGGTGGTGGATGGAGTAAGCTTTCATCTTCACAAGGTAATTTTTCTTTTCTTGATTTAAAATCATGCCAAAAGAATAATGATGATTAGTTTGTCTTTGTATGAATTCTTTGATAGTTCTTAAGAGTGGCTTCTTGCTGATGCTGATATGCTGGGAATGTAGACATTCATTTGATCAACTGGGAATCCAGATTACATCAAGATGCTAACCATGTAAGAATACCAAAAACCATAGTGCAGGGGGGAGAGTCTCCTCTTTGAAAATGTTTATAGTTGAGTCTAGGTTTCATCTTCTTATAAGAAGGACTTAAGGGGATCTGAGGGTTCTGTTGCAGTTTTAGGAAGTCAACAGAATGTGGTCAACTTTGGCAGTTCATATGGTTTGATTCTTACATTTTGGGGTTTTACATTGAGAGATCTTTTGAAAAACATGTTGTTTCTCGGTTTACTCATCTCTTCTGATGTTCGGACATTTTGAAATGGTTGGAGTACTCGTGTCGGATACGACATGACATGGGTATGAATATGAGATATGTGTCGGATCTTCCAAGTTTCAATCGGACACTTCCCCGTTTTCGCTTCTTCTTTCTTTTTCTTCTCCTTTTTGTTCCCCATTTCTACTCTCTATAAACCTAACATCGCCTCCGAGAGGATAGAGAAAGGCAATGGCGCTAGTTTTCCCTCTTTATTCTTCTTTCTTTTTCTTTTCCTTTTCTTCTTCTTTTTTTCCCCTCCTCTTTCCCTCTCTGTATTGGTGGTTTCGGATTTTATTCGTATAAAATGAAAATGGGCTCCATATAATGTTACTTAGTGCTTCACTAAGTCCAAACTGCAATCAAATCATTCACTTTTTATTTTATATAACATTTAGTAATTAACATCTCATAATTGAAAATTAAACCTCAAAATTCTATTTTATTTGTCTTGACCCCTTATTCAATAATCGTTTCCTTCTTTGTGAACAATTGTTTTTGGTATATTCAAAATGACATTTTGGGTTAGTAAAAAAATTGAAACTTGAAAGACATACCTGTGTTCGAAATTTGGACTTTTTTTAGCCATGTCCCCACATCCTACATTTTAGAAATAAAATATCTGATACTTAGATACGTACCCATACTCGAGTCTGAGTGTCATAGTTTATCTCTGTCTTACATCATAGGTAGCACTTTGATTTTTATTGACAGGTTTCAGACAATAGGAACTAGAAGGCATTCATTTTTTTATTCAGTGTATGTGTGATGCATGTGGATTACGTTTCAAAATATTTATCGGGGATATTTTATAATGATTTGTTTTCCTACCACAATAATCGCAGCTCAAATATTTGCTTGTTTGTGCTATGAAGTAGAACCGAACAAGACTCCCTTCTCGGCTCTAGCTTCTGATTGCAAAAAGTTGAGCTTCTAGATTGGGAATTTGGAATTGAGATGTAATTTGTGGCACAAGTCCCTAATATCAACCCCCTTTGTTTAATTAAAGCAATTTTGTTGTTCTTGTAATTTTTAAACCAAGATCAATTAAGGAAAAGCACGACTTTGTTCATTTTTGGCCTATGGCCACAAAAAAGAATAAAGCAAATAGTTTGGTCCGACCTGAGGTACATACTGTTATTCTGCTATTTACCTTCCAGTCGTTTTTCTGTACGCTTGTTGAAGAAATTATATCATTATATAGGGCAGAAGGTAACATAATCTTTTATGGTAAGTTTTGGGAATTTCATTCCGTAATTTTGAGAATGATAGTAGGGTAGTTCACTTTGCATCTGATTAAACCCTTCCATTTCTAAGTAGTTTTTGTTCTGATAGTTAAAAGTTAAATTTCTAAATATGGAAAGCACTTTTATAAAAGTAATTGTAAAATCATGTCAAATCACTAAGGAGTGTCAGCATGGAGTTACTTGAATTCCTACACTAATGATCGTTCATTAGAGTTATTGGTTGTTGCAGGTATAAGGTTGTAAAAATACGTCAATAACTGGGACTAAGTATCACTATATATATTTGAGAGAAGATGATTTTTGGGTAACACATGTTTCTAATTAATCTAGTGATATTTAAATGATTTTCTTGGGTCCCAGCTTATTCCAATGACTTGGAGTTTTGGTTCTTATTTATTTTCCACGAGGTCTTCGATAAGTTCCCTGGAGTGTTTTTTTTTATGTTTATCCCTTTCTCGCCTCTGCAATTTTCCATATTCCCGTGTGTTTCTGCACTTGGATGTCTTTCTTATTGGTTATCAGCGTCATTCTCAAGTTTTTCATATTTATTTTCTGGTAAATCACTCTCAGTAGCTGTGGTATTCGTTATTCATCGGGATTAAGTGTTTGTTCGCTGCCTCATAAAAAATGCTTCTTTTCCAGTTTCCTCTTCTATCTAGGTGCGGGAGGATAGCAAACATTGTTGAAGAAACGCAGATTACCAACAAGAAGACTATCATGGTTAATCTTGAAGAATTCCCTTGTCAATCTGACACATTTTTGGCTATAGTTAAATTTTGTTATGGTGGTCGAGTAGAATTGACACCAAGGAATGTGGTAATGGTGTATTGTGCTGCAGATTACCTCGATATGACAGATGATTATGGAGAAGATAATTTGTTGTCCAAGTCAGAGAGTTTCTTCCACAAACAGGTTCTCCAAAACTGGAAGGACTGCATTTTGGCTCTCCGAAGCTGTGAACCAGTTATTTCAAGAGCAGAAAAGCTTCATATAGTTAGTAGATGTCTGAACGCTTTATCTGTTATGGTCTGTACTGACACCACTCTGTTCGGATGGCCTATGATGATGTATGGTAGTTTACAGAGCCCAGGAGGTAGCATCCTGTGGAATGGGATAAACACCGGTGCAAGAATCCATAGCATAGAATCCGACTGGTGGTTCGAAGACATCTCATATCTAAATGTGGCGTTGTTTGAGAGACTAATTCAGTCGATGGCAGCCAGAGGAATACGACCCGAAAATTTATCTGGAGCTATAATGTATTATTGCAAAAAGTATCTTCCTGGGTTGGGCCGTTGGCAGGGTGGACAAAGCGGCATACCCAGATCGGTTGCTAGTTTTAGCTTGACGCCTGCTGCTGTTGACCAGAGAGTTCTCTTGGAAAGTGTTGTGAAACTGCTGCCTGAAAAGCAGGGAAAATCTTTTTGTCGTTTTCTGTTGGGACTTCTACGTGTTGCATTGATATTGGGGGTTAATCATACATGCCAGGACTCTTTGGAAAGGAGAATAGGGACGCAGCTAGAACTTGCAACCCTTGATTGTCTACTTATACCTAGTTACTCAGATTCCGATACTTTATACAACACTGATTGCGTTGAGAGGATGATTAATCATTTTGTATCTTCTGAACCAAAAGTAACTTCTGTTTCTCCAACATCGTTGAACCTAGAATCATCACCATCATCTGGACGGTTGAAGAGAGTTGCTAGATTGGTAGATAACTATATTGCGGAAGTTGCTTCTGATGTGAACTTGAAGCTTGGACAGATACGTACATTGGCAGAAGCCTTGCCAGAACCTTCAAGATCTTTGCACGATGGACTCTACCGAGCACTGGATATATACTTTAAGGTTCGAATCAGCTCTTACACTTAAAATGTCTGCTTAGCATTTCCACTTTGTAGCACCTCTCTATCTTATAGAAAAAATGTTATTAAAAGAACAATTTTTATTTTTTTTTGATAGATAGTGATATAATAGATAATATAATCTGATTTCTACATATTATCACCGAAGTCTTTGCTGCAACAAATGCCGAAGAGCTTCTTGGTTTTGGCTTTTGACAAATTTTCATGAAATTATTCAGGCACATCCCTGGCTCTCAGAGAAAGAGATGGAGCTGCAAATCAGCTCTTACACTTAAAATGTCTGCTTAGCATTTCCACTTTGTAGCACCTCTCTATCTTATAGAAAAAATGTTATTAAAAGAACAAATTTTTTTTTTTTGATAGATAGTGATATAATAGATAATATAATCTGATTTCTACATATTATCACCGAAGTCTTTGCTGCAACAAATGCCAAGGAGCTTCTTGGTTTTGGCTTTTGACAAATTTTCATGAAATTATTCAGGCACATCCCTGGCTCTCAGAGAAAGAGATGGAGCTGCTTTGCAACATCATTGATTTCCAGAAACTTTCCATCGATGCTTGTGCTCATGCATCCCAAAATGGAAGGTTACCCCTTAGAGTTATGCTTCAAGTTTTGTTCTTCGAACAAATGCAGTTAAGAAAAGCTTTGGCAGGATACCTGAATGTTTTGGATACTGAAAGAGCCTCTGCGGCTTCAATGACTACCCCAAATGAAATAACTGGTCAACCTGTTCAACAAGATGGGTGGGTAAGAGTTGTTCGTGAGAACCAGGTTCTAAAAGTCAACATGGAAAGGATGAGAAATCGAGTTGGAGAGCTAGAACAAGAATTCACTAAAATTAAGCAAGATATGAAAAAGGTGACGAAGTCACATAGTTACCTTAGTTCCCCTAGGTTTGTTTCAAGGAGACTTGGATGCAAGCTGCTTCCCCGGTCTTCAGATGCTGAACCTGACGTGCTGGAGAGAACAGCACCGACTCCCAGAGTGTCAGTCGAGCAGGCACAATCTTCCTCCCGTCACTCCAGACATCGAAAAAGTTTCTCTTTGTTTTGAGTGTTGTAATAAGAAAAATCTCTCTCAACCCCCTTCCGAAAAGTTGGATATCATTAGAGGAAGCAATTGTTAAAGCAAGTTGGATATCGTGATTGCTCAGTCATCTACAGAGCTTCCATATAGGTAAATACAAAATTTTACTCAACAAAGAAGTACGTATTCTGGACAAATGATCTTCTAAGCACCATTGTTTAGCTTATCCTGAGCTTCAGTTCTTGAAGTTGACTTACCAATCAATTGATATATCATGTCATCGGTGCTCAGGAGATCATTTCTCACATATCATGTATTCATATTTACGTACTTTGGGTTTATAAATGTTTGCTATATGAAACCAACGTACAACTTTTGTGAAATATCCAAATTATAAAAGAACTCGGTTCCTCATGGTCATGAATACATGTACCTACTGGCTACTAGAGCTTTTCCCGGTTATGGCATTTGAAAATAGCATATGAAAGTTTAGGCAGTCAATGATTTTGACATGGATGTTTTAACAGTATTTGTGCTGAGGATGATGTTGGCTGAATATTAGTTTAGCAATTGTCATCTAAGTGCTTGTTTGACATACATTATTTTATTTTATGATTTACTACAAGATTATTTTTAACTACACATTCATACAATAAAATATTCTATACGTATGCTAAAAAAAATTTCCTCCTTTTTAACCACACATTCTCTTAAAAATCACTACTCAAAACTCTTTTTTCTACAATAATAGTTGTCAAATAGGCTCTAAATATCGATCTTGCCTTTTTTTCAAAAAAATTTGGGGAACATGTTACGTTACGAATTCTTAGAACTTGTTATTTTCTTTTAATTTTTATTGAAAACTTGTAAATTTTTTTTTTTCAATAATTTATCAGTGAATGAAAGTCGTGATGAATTTCCCAATATCTTAGTGTGGAACAATACTAGTCCTCACAAACTTGAGACAAAGAAAAGGAAAATCATTATGGCATATTTGATAAGAATTCAACTAAATAATAAAATAAATCACTATCATACTCAGAAATATCTCACCAAAGAAGAGTCTTTCTATCATGGGATCGAAGGGCCCCATGCCAAATACAAGATCCAATTGAGCTCTCGAGCTAGTAAATACATTAAATCTTTTCTTTTGTTCCCATTTCCTTGGCCCTTGTTTGAGCTTCATTCTTGCCAAAAAAAAAAAAAAAAAAAAAA